TGGGTATTGAGGAGGGCACCTTTTGGGATGAGCACTGGGTGTTGTATGGAAACCAATTTGACAATAAATTTCATATATTGAAAAAAAAAAACAAATATCCTCTAAATAGATGCTGATTTTAATTAATGTAACATGGTCTACACCTAGATATCCTTCACTTACAGAAAACTAATTCATCTCAAGAAGAGGAGATATCACTACATCTAAGAACCTGCCTGATTAGCTCTTCCTTACGGAAAAGCTGTGATACCATGGCCATAGCTGAGATCCACCCTAAAATCTCTGATGGTAAAAACAAGAGACTAGTTACCACTGCACTAATTACTTCTAGTTATCACTAGTGGGCAAATATATTAGGGCAAATCCTTGGACTCACCTGGTTTCTTAAGAACACTCTAAATTAGAGTTCATACATCATTAATTTTGACATTCTGAATTGATCTGACTAGGATCTGTATCTTAATCCCAGTGGTGCTGAGGAACCCAAGAATGGATGTGGAAGCTACACAGGCTGACAGGCAAACCCCCGGGTCAGCTACTCATTAACAATGGAATCACGGGTCGAGTAATCAACCTCCCTGAACCACAGCTGCCAAAGTAATAAAAAGTAGGCTACAATAACACAGCTACTTTGCAAAGCTATACAATGACTATATAATTTAACAGATGTTAAGCATATGATACAGTGTCTAGTCCAGGATAGAACACTCAACAAATGCTTTTTTTCTCTGCATTCCCTTAGGCAACACATAATTTTCATCTCATTTCATTTATATTTTGAGAGAGAATACAGAGAGAGAGAGAGAGAGAGAGAGAGAGAGAGAGAGAGAGAGAGGAGAGATTATAACCCAACCAGGCTGTCAGCACAAAACCTGACATGGGGCTTGAACTCACAAACCTGAGCTGAAATCAAGAGTCAGACACTTAACCGACTGAGCCACCCAGGTGCCCCAACAAATGTCATTTTTAAAAATCCATAAAAATCCTACCTGGTTAAAGAGTCTTCCTCAGAATTCTTATCTTCTACTAAAGAAAAAAGTAAAATACATTTTAAATCAATATTAGAAAAAATATAGGAAATTAAAAGTGTACAGCTAATGATTTGTTAAAAAGTATTCCTTTGGGACCACACCTGGAAACCACACTACACTGATGGTAATTATATGACTGGTAGGCTTAATGCACTAAGAAATCTTACTTTCTCTTCTATACTGACCAAAAGTAAGAACGGTTTTTATCAGAATTTGATACCTACAAGTGAACTGATGTTTACAGTGACCATACCTGACTGACCCTATGACACTGGAGGAAAATGGTATCGTTAGGAGAATGATTATCATAAGCTGACAATGTCAAACTTAAACTAGCATGATTTTTCTGGACTTCCACTACTAGAGGAGTTAAAAGAGAGTATCTTTATTTTGCTGTAACATGGCAGAACTTCCCCAGCTCTTCAGCAGAGACTGTTCAATTTTAGGATGAAACACCCCCTCACAAAGTGTGGTCTATAGCTATTGCACTTTGCAGCATGGCAAAACCATAGCAAACAGACTCTCCCTGGCCTTATTTCCAATGGCAAGGTAAGTAAAGACTCGGGATTCCAGTTTTATAAAGTTCTAACCTCTTGAGACTGTCTCCTTCCATTGCTAGAGAGTCTATCTAAACCCACCGTATATCACAGAGGAGGACGATCCCAATGTTAGTGCTATGTAGTGGTTCATGATGTCATTTTTCTCAACCCTCCCCATTAGGTGACACACATCTAGAGAAATCATGCTTTTTTTCATGTAAGGCATATGTCATCAGATCCTCTACTGATGAGCAACAAAACAAAACAAAGGGCAAAGAATATCTTGAATGCCTACATTCAATTACCGGGGAATTTTAATTTTCTAAACATTCAAACATATCCACTGTATGATTCTAACTATATGACACTCTGGAAAGAGCAAGACTATGGAGGTAAGGGTTGGGGTGAATGTAGGGATAAAGGGGCACAGCACAGAGGACTTTTAAGGCAGTGAAACTCTTTCACACGATACCACAAAGGTGGATTCACATCATTATATGTTTGTTAAAACTCATAGAATGTATAACACCAAGGCTGAACACTAATGCAAATTAGAGACTTTGCCTGAAAATGATGAGTTAGTGTCAATATAAAATGCACCACTGTTGTCAGAGT